CCTCACCACCCCCCTCCGTCTTCTTCCCCCCTATCTCTCTCCCCCTCTACTTCCTTCTTCTCCTTCTCCTTATAATCTTTCAGTTCCTCCTCCACCTTCCTTATCCTCTCCAATAACTCCTCCTTCTCCTTCTTCCACCCCCCATCTATCCTTTCCATCCACCTCCTCATCTCTTCTTTCTCCTCCTTCCATTTCCTTAATTCCTCTATTAATCCGTCTTTCCATCCGTCTCCCTCCTCCTCGCCCTCCTCTCCTATCTCCTTCCCGTCATCCCCCTTCTTCCTCGGCGGCGATCTTACCACCTTCGCGCTTCTCCCGAAGATGTTCTCTTCCGCCGTCCACCTCTTCATCTCCCTCTCCTCCTCCTGCCTCCCCCTTTTCTCTCCTCTTTTCAAAAATTCTACTATTGGCACGCTGTTCGCCCTCTCCCTGCCTAGTAGCTCTATATTCTTTGGTCGCCCTACCTTTCCTTTCCCTCCCTCCTTTACTCCCCCCCCCTCTTTCTTCTCTTCTTCCATTCTATAATCCTTTCTATTCTACTCTCTTTTCTTCTCTACCTACGCTTGCCTATTTTTCCTATGTGCTTTCCCCTCTATCTACCTTCTCTATTCCCTGTCTCCCTCTACTCTTCCCTCCCACTCTCCACTCTATCTCACTGCCTACTCTATGCCGCCTGTCACTCTCGCCTCTTAACCTACCTTTTTCTTCCCGCTTATCTCTCCGCCGTACCTCTCCTTCTCACTCGCACTCCTCGCCTCCACTTGCCCCGCCTCTTTCAACCCTTTCCCACGTCTCCCCACTCTTCTCTTCTCTATCTCTACTTCACTGCCTCTCTATTTCACCCTTATTCTCACAATCACACTCTCATGCAACCACACGTTCTCGTCACCGGAAACGGAAGCCTGAATGGCACTTGTAAAAAAAGTAAAAACTAAACAATACATGAAGTAAATAAAAATAAAAAATTTATGTATATAGTTCTTTACCGTGTTCCGGCTTATTTATGATCTCAAATATCATGCCGAAGAAAGGAAGTCCACCGTCTTTGGGAAAATCCTTAAGTTTCTGCCGAATAACATATGTACGACGTACTGTCGGTAAAAGTTTGAGAATCAGAACAGCGCAAAGGGTCCACAATGCCAAAGAGATGAAATCCATTCTCGTAATCTGCGAACACTTCAAATACTCTGAATTATCAAGTAAATGCGTACGTTATTAAATTTGTTAAAGTAGAATCGATTATATTGATGTCGCACGAAGAAAAATAGCATACATCACGTTGTCACCGTCACTGTATTCTCAGTACTGAACGAAAATATCTTTCAAAGACAACTGCCATTGCGTAAAAGTTGATTGAAAGATTGCGATAACATGTGCTCGTGAGTACGCGCGTGTGTAGCTATAGATGTGTAGCTACATTGCACAGGAGACCGGGGTTAGAAGTCACATTTTATTCTTAGAAGTGTTCGAGTGATTTTTCCAAGCTGCATGGGACAGTAGAAATACAACTTGTGCGTATCGGAATGGTATAGTCCTCCAGAGCCTCTATTCCGTACACGATTACCGACGACCATCGATATCGTTAACGACGTTTGCGCAGCTTTTTTCACATGATAGAAAAATTGCGCAAACATCGTTAACGAGATCGATAGTCGTCGGTAACCGTGTGCGGAATAGAGCCCCAGGTTAGAGGTTTCCTTCGGCAAGGTTAGCAGCCTACCGAAGCTGAAGTAAAATCAAATGCTCAAAGTCCAGAACGAACTGAATAAAACAGGCTTTAAACCTAATACGTGAGGAAGGAGAACATTATTAGCACCTTTGACAACCTCGTTTATTGCACTTCGATATTTATTAGGAATTATGATTTACATTTATATCATACTGCGAACAATATTAAATGCGATCAAATAATCAATAGAATAGTGCGCTTCTGTTCTCACGTCGGTTCAACTCTTTCACTTCTCTTCTTGATTCAAGATTCAACTGCAGAGTGAGATTGCAAAATCCGCGACGTGGTGAACTTTGATAATACTTGTTCATATCGCATTATAAAGTTCCTTCATGATAATACTCGTATGATTATATAATCAGAGTTCGATTATACACACGACCACACTGTTGAGTGAGATACCACGCATCGCTCTAAAGTCGCGCTGCTAGTACTACTCCTTTTTTCGCAAAACTTGTACTAGCTTCTTCCTAAAATAAATGTGGAGTATCTGAAATAATGTAAAAGTAAAAACAACGTACCAACTCCAAACTTTCGTAGATTAGACAGATGGGTTAATGCCCTTGGCCCGTTTTTCAGTCTTTGACATGTTATCACGAAATTCATCACATTGATTTAAAAATCTTTGCTTAATATTAAAATAATTATTAGAACCTATTAAAGTCTAAAGATCGAGATAGGAGATATTTGTGAAAAATGCTTGAGAAATTTTACATTTAGAGACAAATATTTCATTACAGAAGTGTAAAATCACTGGGCACTTATGGGGTTATTTTTATCTGCTCTGTATGCCCACGAGAGATTATCCACCTTTACCGGGGCAATGCATTTGCTGACGAACTGCTTATTTCTTTGGCGTCAAATGTATGTGTACTTCCTCGCACGGTCTCAAAATGAGAGAGCCGCCGTACTTAATCGTATCAGGCGTTTTCACGCTCTTCACCCTCCACTTCCTCAGAATAGCAGTCAACACAATTTTATCTTCAAGTAAAGCGAATCTCTGGCCTATACAGTTTCTCGGTCCAGCGCTGAATGGAACGTAGGCATACGGATTCCTTTTCCTTGAGTTTTCTGGAAGGAAGCGATCTGGATCGAACTTCGTTGGGTCCGGCCAGACCTCCGGGTTACGGTGTGTTAAATAGATTGCCAATGTGACTGTGACACCTTTCGGAATTGTATAATTATCTAGAATATAGAAAAGAATTTCTTATAATTATCTAGAAGACAAATAAAATACACACTCTATTCTCTTATAAAATATTAAATTGACAATTTTTAATAAAAGTGTTCCATTGTTCAAGAATTAAACTTCTAAAATTATAATGTTCAGGATCTTAAACTGTGTGTGTGTATTTACTAAATCTTAAAAATTCCTCCAAAAACATTCTCGCATTGTACACTAGGGCCGATATTCATAGTCGGATCTTTTATTCAAGACCGTCTTGAATTTATCCAAAGATGCTGTATGGAACATTTCATTGGCTACGGATTATCTAAAGATGATCTTAAGACGGTCTTGACTATAAGATCTGAATATGAATACCGGCCTAGGAATCATTGACGCCCTTTCACATTAATTTGCACGCATATCAATACATTTATACATTTAGCATATACATATATGGAAAATGTGTATGTACGTGTCCCACATGTGCCTAAATACATACTGCTTAATAAATGAAGTTATATGTTAGCAAGTTCCTTAAAAATTCTGTTTTAGGCAAGTAAAGTAATGTTTTACCCAGTTTTACTTGTTCGGTTAATTCCCTCGAGATGAAAGGTGCACTTGGAAATAATCGGAGCGTCTCCTTTATAACTCTGTCGAGATACTTTAGTTGCGACAATTCTTTTACGGTAGCTGGTGCTTGAGAATCTCTGAAAACCTCCTCGAGTTCTTGGTGAACTTTTTCTTGGTGCTCGAGATTATTTCCCAAAAGAAAAAGTGCCCAGGTTATCGCGACCGCAGTTGTGTCGTGTCCCTGTTAATACTCACATATAATTTACATATGATTTACAAATACCGAGTTAGTGAGAAAAATATATATATTAAAAATCTCGGACATCTTACCGCAAACATGAATGTGTCAACTTGTGCTCTCAACTCATCATCGGTTAAAGGAGTGTCAGCTTTCGCATTCTGGTCTAATAACAGATCTAGGAACGCTTTCCTCTTCTTTTTACCTAATACAGCACATTTTCTTAGATACGAAATATTTAAGTGATAGCCGAAATATGCATACTGTACGGTGTAGTTATAATTTATATAATTCACACCTATATTAAATTCATCATCTTCATTTTCGAGTTCTGTGTAGTTTTGCGATTGCCGTTCAGCCTTTTTCTTGCTTATCACCTAAAATATACCGATTTGTTGTACAAATGAACTTATTTAAAGAAATTTTTAATATTGAAAAATTTAGTGAAACTATTTGTAAACATCTCTTTGTAATGTTGTGAACTTCACTAGAGCTTTTGAAGCATACACTATTTGTGAATCCATGCAATTGATTAAGAGCTGATTGAAATTCCTTTCCTGCGGGCAGTGAATAGTACAACCAATCCATCCAATACCACGGCCGAAAGAATCGATTCATTATTAACCCGGAAATTCTAAAAATACGATTGGTATTTAATTGAAATTACATATGGAATCAATTATTAAAGTTACCTTGATTTTTAAAACTATTAAGTAATAGTGTTAAGGATAAACTATTAACAGTTATTAAACGTTACAATATGGAAATAATTATATGTATAATTATATTGACTGTTTCACAGGATTGGGAAAGTTACTTTATAAAAGTATCTGGTTACAGTTACAGTTTTTTCGCTAAAAATGTAACTAGTTACAGTTATAAGTTACTAATTCTGTAAAGTAACGAGTTACAGTTACAGTTACTCAAAAAGTAACGAATCGTTACTTTGCAGTTACTTTCTTGCAATCAAAATAAAAATATGATATCTGCGTTTGAATTATAAAGTGTCGATAAAAGCGTTTATGTGCAAATGCAAGACCTAATGCGATCTGTAGAGGTTTCAAAAAAATATATAAAGTAACTATTGATGTAACTATTAAATTAGTTACTACTTATCGAAAAATATAACTGAGTTAAATTACAGTTACAGATGGAGAGAAAGTAACGAAGTTAAGTTAGATTTACCAAAAAAAGTAACTGTAACAGTAACTTTATTACCAGTAACAAGTTACTTCCCAATCCTGCTGTTTCATTAATAATAGCAGCATAAAGTTTTTGAAAACTGACTTATGTACTGTTGATGTATATTCCGTTTCGGTTTCTTGAGCATGTATATTCACACCCATTGCCGTTTCTGCAAGATAACAATTAATATTGTTAATAATTCTCTCTCACATCGAGTATAATGCTAATATAATTAAACTATTATTTCTCGTAAATAGTACAATAATATTGAAGCAAGATAGTTTTGCTAAATAGGAAAATTCTGCAAAAATTAATTTGTTTGTGAGAATTCGAATTTTCTGCTTGCATAAAATTGTGGCTTTCTGGCACTTTATTTTTATTGCTTTGACATAATATGAATTTTTGCTAATAAAGCCAAATAATTTGCAGATTTCGCAAACTATATGTATATTAGTAAATTTGAATTACTTTTTCTATTAACTTATAATTCTTATTCTCACTCTTTAAGTAAGATTAAAATCACTTTCATATAACATAAATCACATAAATGATATCTTCATAAAATTAGTTGCCGCGTAAAATATAATAGATGCTTTTTCGCAGAGAGTATTGAAAGTATAATATAAATATACATAAATATACAAATATATATAAAAACTATGGTACGTTACCACAAATAACGTCGAGAGCAGTATTGATAACAAAAGGGAAAATATCAATGGCTTTCCCTGGATGTTTTTTTATCTCTCTTTCAAGACACTTTGTTAAGATCTCTGCTTTTTCAGATAGAACCACAGAAAATTGATCTAATATGCTAAAATGAAACGTTGGTCCGATGAGTTTTCTATCGTGCAACCACTGCTTTCCTGCAAGGACATTAAAATGTGATATGTTCGTGTTGTCAAAATAGCAAGAAAAAGTTACAAAATAAAATAAAAGAATATACGGTATTGTTATTGCTTTAAATTTTTAAGCGATTGCATCTATTTTTCCCCAGATGTCAGCATTAGATATTAAATTAAACAAAAGTGTCACAATAGTATAATATTCTGACACACGAACAATATATATAATTAGTGTACGAATATGTATAAACTCACGAATGAATTTAGATAAAGGCTAAAATATTATACTTTCTCACTTTTTGTTTTCTCACAGCTTATTGAAGTATGAGTGCCGCGTATTAAAGCCCACATATTAATAGTAACTAAGTTACAATTAATTTATAAGAAAATTTTACATTATACAAGTAAATGCGAAGTTTCACACGATTTGTAAGTCACTTGATAAAAAAGGGACTAAGAGCCATAACAAAGTGGTCGTGTCATAATTCTGTGTGGTTCCAGGATTTATAAGTTTCGCAATTAAAAATATTGCGTACTGATTATTTATCATTTACTTACTCTAATATAGATATACTAAGAAATACAGTAATAGATAAAAAAGATAAAAGCGATATGTGAAGAATTTTTGCGTTGTTTGCATGTACCTGTAGAGGTGAGAAGTCCATTGCCCAACCAAGGTTTGACAAGATTATAAATATCTGCTTTTGCAATGTTGACAGTGCTAGGAAAAATATGCTGTAAATATTTGAAAAAGATAGAATGCAACAATACTCAAAGAATAGGTATAACATATTTTTACTAATATAAGACATAATACATTATGCTATTGCAATAAATCTGATCATTAGGAAGATTTATTATGACTACTAATTCCCAAAAACCATTATTTTAAATTTGTTAATTATTTATTAAATTCTTGAAAATTATATCTCTATATTACATAAATCTCTTTACAGTGACACATTTTCTCAACATTAAGTCAGATTTGTTAAAGATAAGGTAATCTTTCTCTTTCGACTGATTTCTATTATTGCATTGAAATTCCACTTAAAAATTTAATGAATGCATTCTTGACGCTATGAATGCTCTAGAATGCTTTATACTGTTACATAAAAAGATGATGTCATTACAATTAGTGACGACAATCTTTAGAATACATTGGATGCGTTTCCAGCAACGTACACAGGCCACACTGTGCAACACGGTGAATCGTTTCATTTTTGTTATTTGCCTTTATTAAACGCGGATAAGATGATTTTCTGTATTACACTGTCTCAATCTGTGTCTCTTGCTGGAAAGCACCCATTAATACCCAATATACATATAACACATTAATTATCCTAGAAAACATAACGCACATTATATCTTAGCAAATTAATTATATTGTTTACCTCCAAATATTCTGGCTTAAACACAGTAACAAAAGGCCTGGGTCCAAGCCATTGTACGAATATTCCTTCTTTACACTTGTGCATAAATGATACAGCCCATTTCAGACGTTCTAGAAATTAGCATTATTAATTTTGGGATAAAAAAGTAACTTGTATTAATTAAATCACAATTTAATTCTTGTACATATAAATGTAAATAGCAAATTGTTTTTAATTTTATAATAAACGATTGGCTTATAAAAAAAATGATGATCAATTCTTTATATTAATAAAGTTCTTTACCATACTCCGACATATTTATTAACTGAAATATCATGCCGATGAAAGGATATCCGTCCGTTTGTTGATAATTTTTAAGTTTCTGTCGAATGTCATATTGATGATACACTATCGACAAAATTGTGAAAAGCAGAATAAAGCAAAGAGTCCACAATGCTATAGAAATGAAATCCATTCTCCTAATCTGTGAACACTTCAAGTAGTTATATTACTAAGTTTGCATTACCGAGCAAATTTGTACGTTATTAAATTTGTTATAGCGGGATCGATTATATTGATATCACACGAAGAAGAATAGCATTCGCAATGTTTTTGCCGTTACTATATATACACTATACAGGGTTGGGAAAGTTACTTTATAAAAGTATCTAGTTACAGTTTTTTCGCTAAAAACTAGTTACAGTTACAAGTTACTAATTCTGAAAAGTAACGCGTTACAGTTACTCAAAAAGTAACGAATCGTTACTTTGCAGTTACTTTCTTGCAATGAAAATAAAAATATTAAATCTGTAGTTGAATTATAATATAAAGTGTCGATAAAGCCCGGATAGCACAAAGTATTGGCGCAGTATTGTGAAATAATGTAAATGCAATACCGTGCAATTATTGATACGTAACATCGGCGTTACATTAGCATTTATTCTATACTCAATATTACAATTTTATTGGACAATCTTGCTAATACAATCAATTCAATACTAAATAATCATCTAGGTACAATATCGGTAGTATATTTGCATTTATTTTATGACCAATATTGGTGTTATATTGGAGAAATATTGGCCAATTCACTGCCAACATTACCAATGTACAGCCAATGAATTGTGCTTCTAGGGAGGCGCTTATACGCAAAGGCAAGGCCTATGCGATTAAGTTGGATTGAGTAAATCCGCTAGTTATCGTGTTTCTATACAATTTGGTTAAACCGGCGTTTCAATACTTATGATACTCGGAAAACACAGGCTCTTGGTACGTACCTACCGTCCGTCACGTCGGAGGAATTTGTGTGGTGCAAGGTAAATATTTCTGTAACACTGTAGTTTATTTTCAGCACCTTTGACAATCTCAACTGCACTTTGATATTTATTAGGAAAAACGATTTATGTTTAGGCCACACTTTGAACAATATTAAAGGCAATAAAATAAGTAATGTAATAGCGCACCTATTCCACTGTTTCTCTCGATTCAAGATTCGACCGCGGAATGAGATGGCGAAATCCACGCGATGTTTCTTCACTTTACGTTATTCAATTTCCTAGTGAGAAATACTCATGCGAGTATTTATATAACCGAACACTGTATCTAATTCAAGTTCTCGGTAAAGACTTTTCTGACGTGTTCGAGAAGTATCGTGTCATCATGAAATGCGATTTTTTAAACCACGATATACAGAGATAAAGACTATTTTGTGTTTGGCAATGTGATAACACGCATGATTCATTTGTGCATACAACTGCTGCATACGATATAACCCTCTTGACTGGGACAATGTAAAAGTGTAATTTTTATTTTTATCAGCTATACATATACGCATTGAGATATATCATACATAGTTTTCGTGACATCTTTATCGCAACTATCACGCTTTAGTATAATATAATTTTTTGCAACATCTGCACTATTATCGCTTTCCTGCTAAGCTTGTTATGTAAATACGACGTTCTCCTTCCTTCCTCTTTATTTTCAGTCGAGGATAGGACGGGTTTTTCAATTTAAAAACAAATGTCTCCTTACAAGAGCGTAAAAATACCAGACACTTTTGGGATTATTTTTACCTGCTCTACATGTCCCCGCTTTATGGAGACACTGTATTTGCTAACGAACTGTTTATTTCTTTGGAGTGAAATGCATGTGTACTTCCTCACTCGGTTGTAAAGTGACAGAGCCACCATACTTAATTGTGTCAAGCGTTTTCACGCTCTTCACTCTCCACTTCCTCAGAATAGCAGTCAACATAATTTTGTCTTCAAGTAAAGCGAATCTCTGGCCTATACAGTTTCTCGGTCCAGCGCTGAATGGAATGTAAGCATACGGATTCCTATCCTTTGAGTTTTCTGGAAGGAAGCGATCCGGATCGAACTTCATTGGGTCCGGCCAGACCTCCGGGTTACGGTGTGTTAAATAGATTGCCAATCTGATTGTGACATCTTTCGGAATCGTGTAATTATCTAGAAAAAGATATATTAACGCACACTGCATTCCCTTATAATATAATAGAAAATATTACATTGACAATCAAACGTTGTGTAATAAACGAATTAAATAACTAGCTAGTTGGGTTGAAGTTTTCCGTCTCAATTTTTAATCATTACTGGTGACAATAAGCAAACTCTCCTTTCGTTCATAAATGAAGTTATATTTTAGGAAATTCTAAAAAATTTCTTTTTTAGGCAAGTAAAGTTATGTTTTACCCAGTTTAACTTCTTCCACTAATTTTCTTAAGACGAAAGGTGCACTTGGATATAAACGGAGCGCCTCTTTTATGACTCTGTCGAGATACTTTAGTTGCGACAATTCTTTTACACTAGCTTGTGCCTCCGAATTTTTTAAAACCTCATCAATCTCTTTGTGAACTATTTCTTGATGGTGAAGATTATTACCCAAGAGAAACAATGTCCAGGTTATCGTAACAGCGATTGTATCGTGACCCTATTATCATTTATACATATAGTTAGGTGATCGAGTTATTAAGAGAAAAATTTATATTATAAATGTCGGACATCTTACCGCAAACATGATTGTGTCGACGTGTGATCTCAACTCATCATCGGTTAAAGGAGTGTCAGCTTTCGCATTCTGCTCTAATAATAGATCTAGGAACGCTTTCCTCTTCTTTTTACCTAATACAGCAAATTTTCATAGACAATAAATATTTAAATGCTAGCAGAAAAATGCATAATGTATGTTGAAATTATAATTTATAATTCACACCAATGTTAAGTTCATCATCTTCATTTTCAGGTTCTGTGTAGTTGTGCGATTGTCGTTCAGCCTTTTTCTTGCTTATCACCTAAAATTTACCGTTTTGTTGTATAAATCAACTTATTTAACAAAATCTTTAATATAAAAAATTTTGTGAAACACTTTTGTAACTATCTATTTGTAATGTTGTAAACCTCACTAGGGCTTTTTAAGCATACCTTACTCGTGAATTCATGCAATATATTAAGGGCTGATTTAAATTCCTTTCCTGCGGGCAGTAAATAGTACAACCAATCAATCCAATACCACGGTCGATATACTCGATCTACTATTAACCCGGAAATTCTAAAAATGCGATTGACATTTAACTAAAAGTACATATACAATGAATTATTGAAGTTATGTTGATTTTTAAAACTATTAAGTAACAGTGGTAAGAATAAACTGTTAACTGTTTCATTAATAATAGCAGTATAAAGTTTTTGAAAACTCACTTATGTACTGTTGAAATATATTCCGTAACGGTTTCTTGAGCATGTATATTCACACCCATTGCTGTTTCTGCAAGATAACAATTAATATTGTTAATAATTCTCTTCCACATCGCCTATAATACTAAAATTAATCTAATTTATTCCTCATGAATAGTACAATAATATTAAAGCAAGATTTCTATTTTGCTGATGAAATAGAAAAATCTTCCTAAACAATTTGCTTGTGAGAATTCGAATTTTCTGCTGACATAAAATTGCCTCTTCCTAACACTTTATTTTTATTGCTTTGATATAATATAAATTTTTGCTATAAATAAAGCCAAATAATTTGCAGATTTCGCAAATTATATATTAGTAAATTTGAATTACTTTTTTCCTTAATTTATAATTTTTATTTTTACTCTTCAAGAATAAAATTACTAAATTTCTCAAATCATTTTCATATCACATAAATGATATCTTCATAAAATTAATTAGTTGCCGCGGAAAGTATAATAGATGCTTTTTCACCGAAAATATTGGAATCATAAATATCCATATACATATAAAAACTATAGTACGTTACCACAAATAACATCGAGAGCAGCATTAGTAACAAAAGGGTAAATATCAATGGCTTTCCCTGGATCTTTTTCTATCTCTCTATCGAGACACTTTGTTAGGATCTCTGCTTTTTCAGATATAACCACAGCAAATTGATCTAATATACTAAAGTGAAACGTTGGACCGATGTTTTTTCTATCGTGGAACCACTGTTTTCCTGAAACAATATTAAGATATGATATAGTTGTGTTGTGAAAATTGCAAGAAAAAGCTACAAAATTAAATGAAAGCATACATGGTGTTGTTATCACAGGCTCCTGCACGAAGGAGCGGTTAGTATGGGTGGTTTGGTGGGGCCCTTTTTACTTTTGTAAATTTAAATGACTTTTCATAAAAAAATATCACTTAATGCATTGATATGCTATGTTATATATGCACATTTAAAAATATGTGATGTTGTCATGTCTCAAAGAACTGTCCAATTTCCTCAAAACATTGTATCTTTTGATTTTACTAATAAGTATTTGCTTGCAGAGGTCGGTGACCTCCTATATTTAATAGCGTATATGAATCCTTGTATCATTGATTATGTTTATCTCGTTTTTTGTAAAAATGGATTGTTTTCTATAAAATAATATTAACCCTCAAAGTGCTTTTGCGAGTGATCGGCTCATAACCTCTATATGTTGAAAAGTACTTTAACATTTGTACCTGAAGAGATGAAAATTCCATTGCCCAACCAAGGTTTAAAGAAATTATAAATATCTGCTTTATCAATGTTGACAGTGCTAGGAAAAATATGCTGTAAATATTTGAAAAGGATAGAATACAACAATATAAAAAAAAGAACATATTATTACTACAATAATACAAAATATAATATATTGTATTATGCTACTGCAATAAATCTGATCATTATGAAGATTTATTATGACTATTAATTCCCCAAAACAGTTATTCTAAATCTGTCATTTATTTATTAAATTTTAAAAAATTATATCGCTATAATTAATAAATTTCTTTACAGCGACAAATTTTTTCAACATTAAGTCATTTGGTAAAGATAAAGTAATCTTTCCCTTTCGTCTGATGTCTATTATTATATTGCAATTTTACTTAAAAATTTTATGAATGCACGCTTGACGCTACGAATGCTCTACACTGAAAAAAAAATTTTACTAAACAAACTAAATTCATTTAGTTGCCGAAAAATTTGGTAAATTTAACAATTGTTTAGTTCTATTGAAAATGCAACACTTAATTCAACCAAGTGATTTATATATATTGTATGAAAATTGCTCAACTAAATTATTTAGTTTGAAATACTACTACCATTTATGTATATTGTTTAAATATTTAGTTATCACATCTGTATATTTATTTGATTCAAAGTATCAAAATGACTAAATAATTTCGTGTTGGCTAAAATATATTGCGTATCTTCAACTAAACGATTTAGGAAGATACAACAAAATTTTGTGTTCATTTAAACAGCTGAGTTTATCAAATTGATTCTTTTAAAGTAACAAAAAGTTTTGCATATGTTCAAAATTATTTTGATGAATGGACTAAATGTGATCGAAAATAAAATAAATTAATTGTTAGTATACGTTTTTAGGCTGACCAAATATCGAATTATGTCATATATAATTTAGTTAAATATACATGTTATTTTGCTGAATAGGCAACAAAAGTATGTTATTGAAAATCACTTTATCATTGTTGAATCAACTATTTTGCATGTATACCAGTGCGCCAGCTTCTGAGTAGTTCACCGACCGCCGCTAGGCCGCGCATGGTGGCGGCCAAAAACTCGGAAGCAAAATTCAGTCTCGTAGGGTATAAAAGGAGGCCCGCGTAGTGCCGGATTGCCAATTTGTGCCGGATCGCGCGCTTCGACCGCCACATAATGCTTTATAAGATTAAATCAATCCAGAATTTTGTTTGTTAATCTCAATTAATAAACGTGTGTGTGATAACCGTATATTTCATTCATTTAATAATGTAATTATTTATATTGAGTGGATATGTAGTTACTTTTACTTTATATTTTGGCCGACGATTCACATATTTCATTCCTGTAATAAAAATTTAATTGCTTCAACCGAGTGTAGAGTTTTTCAAACAAACTATTTTTATCAACAAAATAAATTTCGGTTTGCTCTATAAAAGTTTTCTATAAAACGACAAAATATATGAATGCACCAATTATCTAAATTGTTGGTTAAACTATATCAATAAATTTACGGACTATGTATCGAGGTCATTAAACAAAGCTTTCATTTCTATCAAATATATATTTAATTATCTCCACTTAATCATTCGATGCAAACTTTATATATTTAGTTCTAGAAACAAAATTTTAGTTGCCTCATATTTTCGTGAATATAAATGTTAATTGCATTTTAATAAATGGAACTAAATTTGTCTTCATCAAATTGTATATGTATACTGCTGTTTTAACTAATTTTTCATTTAAACAAAAAGTGGTTTTGTTGATTGGACTCGAGATTTATCTAGGACAACAAAATTTTTCTGCATTCAACACGAACAAGTTCGCATACTAAAAAAATATTGTATTACAGTATCTATGTATGTTTTAACTAAACTCTCAACTTTGTTGATTCAAATAGTGCTTTGTTTACAACAGTAACAAATTATTATGTGATGTCGTAGTAATATTTAGTTGTGCGTATCGGACTAAATATTTTAGTTGGATAAAACATAATTTGCATTTTTCAACAAATTTTTTTTCTCAGTGTAGAATGCTCTAGAATGCTGTTACATAAAAAGATGATGTCATCACAATAATGATGACAATCTTTAGAATATATTACTATTCAATACATATATTTAGTACCGTAGAAAATATAACGCATATTGTATTTTAGCAAATTTATTTTATTGTTTACCTGTAAATATTCTGGCTTAAACACATCAATAAAAGGCGTAGCTCCAATCCATTGTACGAATATTCCTTCCTTACACTTGTACATGAACGATACAACCCATTTTAGGCGTTCTAGTAATTGCAATTATTAATTACGTAATTATATATTAAAATTTATTAATTTTATCCTAATCTAATTATTATACATGTAAATTCACTGTAGCAAACTGTTTTTAATTTAATCCGCCTACGAATATAATAAACGATTGGCTTATGAAACAATAATGATAAATTCTTTATATTTGTAAAGTTCTTTACCGTACTCCGACATATTTATGAGCTCAAATATCTTGCCGATAAAAGGATATCCACCGGTTTGTGGAAAGTTTTTAAGTTTCTGTCGAATGACATATTGATGATGCACTATCGACAAAATTGTGAAAATCAGAACAATGCAAAAAGTCCACAGAGCCAAACAGATAAAATCCATTCTCGTAATCTGTGAACACCTCAAGTAATTTCAATTATCAAGCAAATTCGTACGTTATTAAATTTGTTCTAGTAGGATCAATCATATTCCAAAAGTTTGTACAGACCATTCAGGGACACTCTGTATATCAGGGAATACATTTTTGGTAACGAAACAGTCAGCAAAAAATAATTAGTAAAAAGCTTTATCGGTTATTTCACTACAACTGTTATCTATATTTATTGGCAGATTTGCAAATTAAATGGTTCAGCAATAAATCTTTTATGTTATATTTTACCGCTGTCGTATCGAAATTTCTATAAAGATTTACCGCCTGACATATAATAACATTTTCTAACATTTCACAAGAATTTAAAAGTACGTTCATTGTAAGATTTCTAATTTGATAATCAAATTTCCGCGATGTCTTCAAGTATTATATAATGCACTAAAACATCGTGTACGTTGGGAGTACGCAATAAGAAGCAAGAGAACCATAACTATAACGCATTACACAGCACATAAATTCGTATAGAGAATTCTATCTTAAATTGTAAACTGATCTTAAAAATTCTTTAAAGTTGGTTTGAGTAAATCCACTAGTTATCGTGTTTTTATACAATTTGGTTAAACCGGCGTTTCAATCCTTATGATACTCGGAAAACACAAGCTCTTGGTGCATACCTACCGTTCGTCACATCGGAAGAATTTGTGTGGTAAAAGGTAAATATTTCATTAACACGGCAGTTTATTTTCAATACCTTTGACAATCTCAACTACTGCACTTTGATATTTTAAAATATAAATTTTAATATCATAATTAATTTGATGTTACTTTAATGAGTTCAAAAATATGAGTGTTTAAAAGAATAAAAGTTTAGTTTATATTATTTAAAGTTTTACTCGAAAATAGGTTTTACAACTCTAAAATTTTGTGTATTAGAAGCATTAAATCCCTCCGCCCGTTTTTAATTCCTCAACAAGATATCAAGAAAATTATCATGTAAAGACAAATACATCATTACCAAAGTGTAAAAACACTAAGTACTTTCGGTTAGTTATTTTTATCTGCTCTATATGTCCACGGAAGATTACCCACCTTTACCGGGACAGTGTATTTGGTGACGAACTGTTTATTTCTTTGGAGTGAAATGTATGTGAACTTCCTCGCTCGGTTTTAAAATGACAGAGACACCGTACTTAATTGTGTTAAGCGTTTTCACGCTCTTTACCCTCCACTTCCTCAAAATAGCAGTCAACACAATTTTGCTTTCAAGTAAAGCGAATCTCTGGCCTATACAGTTTCTCGGTCCAGCGCTGAATGGAACGTAGGCATATGGGTTCCTCTTCTTTGAGTTTTCTGGAAGGAAGCGGTCTGGATCGAACTTTGTTGGGTCCGGCCAGACCTCTGGATTTCGGTGTGTTAAAAAGATTGACAATCCGACTGTGACATCCTTCGGAATTGTGTAATTATCTAGAATAGAAACAAATTTTTTACAATTATCTAAAAATACATTAACACACGCTGCATTCCCTTAGAAAATGATACATTCACAATCTATAATCAGCGTAAACGTTTTGTTGTTAAGAATTAAACTTTAAAATTATATATTCTGCTCTTTTAATATAAATTGATTACTTTAATTTTTGTTTGTTTTAATAAATTGTGCGTGCGAGCGTGCGTGCGTGCGTGCGTGTGCGTGTGCGCGTGTGATAGAAAATATTAATTAAATACTAAATCTTAAAAATATTTCTCTAGACATTTCTCGCATTCTACATGTAATAACTACTTTATAAATGAAATCAAGAATTATTTGACGCCAGCAAATGACTAACAATGCTCAAGCTTCTAATCGGCGAATTTTTCGCAATAATTTTTCTTTATTAAAAACAAATCGCCAGTCATGATCGGTTAGACGCTTGGTCATTATTAATAAATGAAGTTATATGTTAGAAATTTTTTTAAATTTATTTTTAGGCAGTTCAAGTAAAATTGTGTTTTACCCAGTTTTACTTCTTCCAATAATTCCCTTCCGACGAAAGGTGCACTTGGAAATAATCGGAGGGCCTCCTTTATAACTCTGTCGAGATACTTTAGCTGCGACAATTCTTTTACAGTAGCTGGTGCTTGAGAATCTCTGAAAACCTCCTCGAGTTCTTCGTGAACTTTGTCTTGGTGCTCGAGATTATTGCCCAAAAGAAAAAGTGCCCAGGTTATCGCGACCGCAGTTGTGTCGTGTCCCTGTTATTATTCACACATAATTTATATGTGATTTACATAGATACCGAGTTAGTTAGCGGAAAATATATATTAAAAATTAACATTAAATATACATATATTAAAAATAAACATTAAATATATTAGCATTATATACATTGACATTAAATATATATTAAAAATAAACATTAAAAATCTCGGACATCTTACGCCAAACATGAATGTGTCAACGTGTGCTCTCAACTCATTATCGGTCAAAGGAGTGTCAGCTTTGGCATTCTGGTCTAATAATAGATCTAGGAACGCTTTCCTCTTCTTTTTACCTAATACAGCACATTTTCTTAGATAAGAAATATTTAAATGACAGCTGAAATATGCATAATGTATTGTGTAATTATAATTTATAATTCACACCTATGTTAAATTCATCATCTTCGTTTTCTACTTCTGTACAGTTATGCGATTGTCGTTCAGCCTTTTTCTTACTTATCACCTAAAATTTATCGTTTTTGTTGTAAAAATTAACTTGTTTAACGAAATATTTAATATAAAAATTTTAGTGAAACTATTTGTAAACATCTATTTGTAATGTTGTGAACTTCACTAGAGCTTTTGGAGCATACCCTATTTGTAAATCCATGCAATTGATTAAGAACTGATTGAAATTCCTTTCCTGCAGGCAGTGAATAGTACAACAAATCAATCCAATACCACGGTCGAAAAAATCGGTTTATTAATAATGCGGAGGCCCTGAAAATACGATTGACATTTAATATAAATGCATAAGTAATAAATTATTAAAGTTTACTACTGATTCTTAATAATATTTTTATAAGTCATAAACTATATTCACTATTTTATTAATAATAGTAAATAGTATGAAGTTTTTGAAAACTGACTTATGTACTGCTGAAGTATATTCCGTAACGGTTTCTTGAGCATGTATATTCACACCCATTGCTGTTTCTGCAAGATAATAATTACTATTTTAAATATTTCTCTCCCACATCGCCTATAATACTAAAATTAATCTAATTTATTCCTCATGAATAGTATAATAATATTAAAGCAAGACTTTTATTTTGCTGATGAAATAGAAAAATCCTCCTAAAAAATTTGCTTGTGAGAAGTCGAATTTTCCGCTAACATAAAATTGTCTCTTCCTGACGCTTTATTTTTATTGGTTTGACATAATAAGAATTTTTGCTAATGTAATGAAATAATTTGCAAATTTTGCAGACTATATATTAGTATTAAATTTAAGTTCCTTAATATAACTATTATAATTTTTCATTTTTATTACATTCTTCCTCTGGATAAAATAATATCTGTATAAAACTAGTTGCCGTATAAATATATATGCTTTTTCGCGGAAAGTATTTAATTTACATGGAATATTGTAATTACATATAAAAGACATACTATAGTGCATTACCACAAATAATATCGAGAGCAGCATTGATAACAAAAGGGAAAATATCAATGGCTTCCCCTGGATGTTTTTCCATCTCTCTTTCGAGGCACATTGTTAAGATCTCTGCTTTTTCAGATAGAACCACAGCAAATTGATCTAATATACTCAAGTGAAACGTTGGTCCGATGAGTTTTCTATCGTGAAACCACTGTTTTCCTGAAAGAATATTAAAATGTAATACATTTGTGCTGTGTCAAAATTGCAAGAGAAAGTTACAATATTAAATAAGAGGATATTTTGTCTTAGGTGTCAGTATTAAATATTATATAAATACTGAGGAATATAGTAATAGAGATACGAAACAGATATGCGAAAATTCTTTTGTGTTTTTTACATGTACCTGAAGAGGTCAGAAGTCCGTTGCCCAACCAAGGTTTGAAGAGATTATAAGTATCACCTTTTGCGATGTTGACAGTGCTAGGAAAAATATGCTGGAAATATTTGAAAAGACAAAATACAACAATATTAAAAACAAGATATGACATATTTTTTTACAAACGAGGTACATTATGCTATTGCAATAGATCTAATCATTATGAAGATTTATCATACTAATTCCCAATAACAGTTATTTTAAATCTGTCATTTACTTATTAAATCCTTAAAATTATTAATTTAGCGAAATAATTTTATTGTTTACCTCTAAATATTCTGGCTTAAACACAACAATAAAAGGCCGGGCTCCAAGCCAATGTACGAATATTCCTTCCTTACACTTGTACATGAACGATACAACCCATTTTATGCGTTCTGTAATTGCAATCATTAGTTACGTAATTATATATTAAAATTTATTAATTGTATCATAATCTAATTATTATACATATAAATTCAAATAACACTTTATTTTTAATTTAATTTGTCTACGAATAAACGATGGGCTTATAAAAGCACAATGATCAATGCTTTATATTATATTTATAAAGTTATATTTACCGTAGTCCGACATATTTATGACCTCAAATATCTTGCCGATAAAAGGATATCCGCCGGTTTGTGGAAAGTTTTTAAGTTTCTGTCGAATGACATATTGATGATGCACTATCGACAAAATTGTGAAAATCAGAACAATGCAGAGAGTCCACAGAGCCAAAGTGATGAAATCCATTCTCGTAATCTGTGAACACCTCCAGTAGTTTCAATTATCAAGCAAATTCTTACGTTATTAAATTTGTTATAGGATCGATTATATTGATATCACACGAAGCAAAACAGCATCTGCAATGTTATCACCATTACTGTATTCTCAGTACTAAATAAAAATATCACGTAAAGGTACGAACGATTGCGATAAATAATCCGAATTGTTGTGAAGGCTCCCGAAAAGAAAATTATAAAGGAAGGAGAGAATGCCAATGTGAGCCACAAAATGAACAGACCACGGTTCTCACAGTATAATTCTTCAATTTCTATTCAAACGTTTCGACCCTTTTTCGGGTCTTCTTCAGTAACTACACAGAAAAATTATAAATATAGTCGAATTTGTAATTATATGTATCTATCGCTGGACGCAACTTAAACAAGACATTTACCTCGTAATCGAAATTATAGTTCGGCGCAAATTATAAGTATAATCGTATTTGTAATTTATATGTATTTATAGCTGGACGTCACTCAAACAAAACAATTACCTCGTAATCGCAAATATAGTACAGCCCAACATCGAAATCAATCCTCTAATTTTTGACAATCGGTAAATCTCTAAATGAAGCCTGACATAAAGAGGACCGATTGACTCGACCAGAGATGAGTCCGTGACGACGCTGTTTAACTGATTGTGACACAGCATTATCGGGACGAGACAAAATTTAATAATAAAGGGTGGTAAACATGACAGGATAAAACTTAGTTCAGTGTGTCAAATATAACCGTCGTAAACATTCAAGGCGCCTAATACAAATTAGAGTTCTTGTGTGTTACAACTAATACCTTATGAATCTTCGGGGATTGTCTCGTGTAACTTAAAATAACTAAAGTCCCAACTGCAAGAACCGACACTGCACAAGTTCACAATATTAAAAAAATCCAATGTAAAGGGTTGTCGTCTAGGGAGTTGTAAATAATGCGGAACGACACCGAAAAACCGAAAACTAAATAGAAAGATTGAGGTCAAGACATAAGACAGTAAAATTAACAAGAAAAAATTAAGCAAAATCACATAAACCGGTAAATAGTCAAAATTAAAACGCACCTCTGGACTTTAATTGCGTTTTAATTTTGACTACAAATACGATACAAATACGATTATACTTATAATTTGCGCCGAACTATAATTTCGATTACGAGGTAAATGTCTTGTTTAAGTTGCGTCCAGCGATAGATACATATAATTACAAATTCGACTATATTTATAATTTTTCTGTGTAGTTACTGAAGAAGACCCAAAAAAGGGTCGAACCGTTTGAATAGAAATTGAAGAATTATACTGTGAGAACCGTGGTCTGTTCATTTTGTGGCTCACATTGGCATTCTCTCCTTCCTTTATAATTTTCTTTTCGGGAGCCTTCACAACAATTCGGATTATTTATCGCAATCGTTCGTACCTTTACGTGATATTTTTATTTAGTACTGAGAATACAGTAATGGTGATAACATTGCAGATGCTGTTTTGCTTCGTGTGATATCAATATAATCGATCCTATAACAAATTTAATAACGTAAGAATTTGAAGAAAAACCCTCTCTGCTGCTGTGTGTTTTTTTAGACACGCACACTCACACGCACACGCGCGTGCATACACACACACACACACACACACACACACCACACACACACACCACACATCCACACACCACACACCACACACCACACACCACACACCACACACCACACACCGCACACCACACACCACACACCGCACACCACACACCACACACCACACACCACACACCACACACCACACACCACTACACCACACATCCACACACCACACACCCACACACCACACCCACACCCACACCCACACACCACACACCACACACCACACACCACACACACACACCACACACACACACACACACACACACACACACACACACACACAC